CTTTAGGTGGAGATCAAGCATACTAAGAGACAACGTGTTTTATCAAAGTCACCTGAATCAGTTTCTAACGCCCGCAGTCGGAAGTCATCCTCAGTGGCTGTTGTGTTACCGCGCCTCCACTCATGGCTGGGCGGTCAGCACCTTCCACAGTAATTGTGATGGTAAACGTAACACAGTCACCATCGTGAAAGCAGGACAGTACGTGTTTGGAGGCTACACTGACATTCCATGGGGTAAGTGGATTGCATGTCAATTTTGTCTGTATTGGTTTTTTTTTTTATATATATATATTTTTTTTGTTGTTGTTGTTGTTGTTTTTTTTAAATGAAAATCCCAAACACCTGAAAGTAGCTTTTACTGGTATTTTTATAGGAAAAAACCTCATAGATATACAATTTGACGCAATCGTGAATGATTTTCTTTCCCCAGAGTCCAGTGGTGGGTGGACCAGCACTCCAAATGCTTTCTTATTTTCTCTTCACAATAAAGAAGGACTGGCTCCATTTAAAAGCGTGGTAAAAAAGCCAAATTGGGCAATGTACAAGCAGTCGAGTTACGGTCCACTATTTGGTGCTGGTCATGATATTCATATCGCGAACAATGCCAACAGTAATCGTAATTCCCAAGCCAATTTTGGTTGGGCTTATTCCGTTCCAAGTGGTGTACAAAACGAAAAAACTTTACTGGCCGGTAGTTCAAACTTCACACCCGATGACTGGGAGGTGTTTTACGTGGGGTAAGAGGTCTTGGACTGAAGAAAAAACCGAACCATTTACTCGCTCAACGGACTCTTTGTATTTTTACACGTAGAGTGCAAACTGCATTTGATTGTTGCCGAGTGTGATACATTCTATTTTTATCATTCATGTCAGAGAACTTAATGAATATGACCTATGATCTGTGCTATCATTAAGCTAAACTAGTGAATTTTTTCTATTAATGAAAAATGCCGTGTGAGGTGAGTGTACGATCTGCCAAAAAAAATCGATGGAGAACCAACAATTCAATTGCCTCGCTTACTCAAATTCAAAGTTGTTTCATTCATTTTGTCCTTAAGTTTCAACCTTCCTTTTTTTTTTTTTTTGTCTTTTCTATTTATTCTTTTCTGTTTTTCCCCAATTCTAAAATTTCTGTTGTCGAAGTTAATACATGTGTTCCACTCCCACAGTAATGTTTGTAGGCACCTCTTTTAACCATTTCCCTTAGCCCCAACCCCAACTGCACCTACCATGATAGCTTAAAAACCGAGTAATACACTGTACTTAACCCGTTGATTCCCACAAGTGACTAAGACAGAATTTCTCCTCACTATATAAATACAATATCAAGCAGACAAGTGATTAGGATAAAGAAAAATACCAATTAGGGGGATAATTAGTTGATCCAACACCAAATCCCTCTGAACTAATATCATAAGAATTGTATGGCAGACAGTAAGGGGAATTACAACTGAGATCTCGGAGTGAAAGGGTTAACCGTTCCACAGCAGTTACATCTTGGTGACTAATTGGAGTTCCGGCGCGTAATTCATTGTTTTCTTAATTTTTTCGGCCCTCCTAAGTCCATAATCTGACTTCCGTTCTGATATTCTGCAGCCATCCTTTCCTCGTTTTTATTGCATTCACACCCTTCTACATAGGGTCTTTTCTATCCAATTTAACAACAATTCTCAGGGACCCAAACACGTCACGGCAACATCATGTGTGCTTCTTTTTCACCCTTTGTCATTGCCTCAGCGTCCTTCATTTTAAATGTACTTGATAAGGTCACGACTTACGATGTGTGACTCGAACAAGCTTTTGTAAATCTCACAGTTAGCTAGTTAGCCTCGCTGTAATGTGCAAAATCGGAAAGTAATCAAATATGCATAGATTCCCGACTATTGTTTCCCTTGGAGTGCGATACATTATCGGGCCATTATTAGAATGTCTGTATTTGTTGTAAATATTGCCACAATTTAAGGTTGCAATGAATAGCCTGACGGGTGTTTACGAGGCTCTATTAGGTTGATATGCAAATTTTTTGTAGAGTACTAAGTGCAAGACTGACCACAAGCTAGCTTGAAAATCAAGTCCACCTCTGAAAAAAGACTACGAGGAAATACATTCAATACTTTCAGCTCTGGAAACTTACGTACACATGAACTCTCACGTACTCCGCTATGACAAAGAACTGATGAAAGACAGCATCACATGAAAAGGTCAACTATAACCTCTAAGGTCTCGTTATTAATAGAAACACGAAAACCGATAGGAATATCTAGCCTCGTTAAGTGCTTAAAACTACAAGCCGACTTTAGAATTGACCACCGACTTATCAAGATTGTATCTCGCTCAAACATAACTCACGCTCTCCTAACTTGGTACTTAGACGATTTTCCAGAGCAAGGTACCCAGGGAAAATACGATGGATATCAACGCACAGCAAACGAAAATTCCATCCAGTGAAAAACGTGGTGATCATTTTGAAAAGGCTTCTTCGTTGTTGTCTGTTGCAGCCATTCTGTTGACGTTGGCTCTCTTTGTAAGAACGGAGATAAACATGAAAATGCTGGACTCAAAATTTACGCTGAAAATGCAAGAAATGGGAGATGCTTTAGAATCTGTCAGGGTTGCTCGCCAAGTTCTTCCAACAGAGGACATTTCCAAAGGTAGGTCATAAAAAAGAAAATTTTGTAAACAACTGCGCGTCCCTTGTACTCGAAAATAAGCGTCAGTCAGGCGGGTTGGTTAGCATGGTTATGCTGTAACCCATAGTTAATCGAGGGGACTGGCATTCCCCTCGATTAACTATGTGTAACCATACGAAAGCTAGCCGGGAGCATTCGGCTTCGACCGTTTTATATTTAGGCGTAAGCAAACAGTATGTGAACATTTAAACCAAGCACATTTTACCAGGCAAATTCGTTTGGATAGACTTAGAGAATCCGTTCGAATAAGTTTTTGTGATCAGTTAATATGATATTTTGATGCAAATCAGCCAAAGAACAGCCGTATTGGATTATTTTTTTTACGACTGTGTTATATTATACAAGGGGGTGTGGACAATATAGATTTGACCTTGGATCAGAAACTTGACTGGTTTCAGTGAAACAAGTCAGAGCTGCGTATTTAATTTATCTTTGAACCAGTGGCTTTTCTCCGACCTTTTCCGTCGTAAAGGATTTAAGCAAAACATCTCTGAACCAGTTAACGAGGGTAGATTGGAATGCCAGAACTCGCAACTGGAACCCGAATACTCGGAATATCCGGAATACTCGGAATACCGGAAATACCCGGAATACCCGGAATACCCGGAATTCCCGGAATGACCGAAAAAAAAAAATTTTTAAAAAATAAAAGAAAATTAATAAATGAATAAGAATATCGATTATTAAAAATTAATGGTAAATTCACAACTTAATTAAATAATTTGAAACGAAATTTTTCACTGAGGGTCCCAAAAAAAAAAAAACACTTACCGGCACTTTCATGGAGATGCACGTATTACTGAATTAAAAAAGTCTGAGTCAGACCAGTAGCCCATACAGCCTAAGCGACGAAATATTTCTACTCTCCCTTCCCCCTGGATGGGATGCTAGTCCATCACATGGTTACTCCCCTTTTTAAATTCGCCTCCACCCATTTACACGCCTGAAGGATGTCTAGGGCGCCATGACCATTAGACCACCACGCTTTTCCAGCCGGAACCATTGCAGAAGATTAAACAAATGCAACATTTTCAATTAGTTTAGTAGGTCAATTGTAAAAAGCTCCGAACTATAACAAATTAATATTCTACCTTAAATAATTATTAACCGCACATTGGGAGCTATGAAAGCAGCTACCATTAAGACCAGCCGTCTATAGTTAAAATTGAGAGATAGAGTCGTCAGTTACTCAACACCTTTTCGCGTTTATTATACATACCTTGAATATATACCTTTGAATATAAACCTCTTACTGATGGATTCTTCTAAACAAGGACTAGCATCCCATCCAGGGGGAGGGGAGATTAGAAATATTTCGTCGCTTAGGCTGTACGGGCTACTGGCCTGACGCAGACTTTTTTAAAAACAGTTGGTCTGTTTTTTTTTTTTTTTGGGAACCTTAGAGAAAAATTTCGTGTCAAATAATTTAATTACGTTGTGAAATTACCATTTATTTTTAATCATCAATATTATTATTTATTTATTAATTTACTTTTATTTTTGTATAATTGTTTTTTGGTCATTCCGGGAATTCCGGGTATTGCGGTTCTGATTCCGAATTCCAGCATTGTATATTTTCCAACCTACCTTTAAGGAGGGGGGCCTTAGGGTCTATTAGAAACCGTAAGACCGCAAAAAAAAATTCTATCAAAACCGAAAACCGCATGCAGAACCGTCTGAACCGATGAATTTGCACATCTCAGTTGTCAAAATCCCAATTGATCTGATATTGTGGTTGCAAGTGGAGCAACGCAGGTTTGGCGGCTATTCGAGATCAACAGAGGCGTAGAACTGCTGCTCAGATCGAAGAGAAAGCGGAACCCCAATAAGAAAAAGCGAAAAGGTATAGTGGATACCCAACTACCTGTCAAAAGTTTCTACGAAAACCAAAAACCAAATGCTAAAAACGAAAAATTTGCAAAACGCAATGAATGACAAAACCGAAAAAACCAACTTTTTTTGGCACATAAGCCGGAAAAGCAATCTAAAAAAAAGCCAAAACCACAGAACCGTAAACCCCAATGCCCGCCCCCCGTTCCCCGTTCCTCGTTCTCCATTCTTCGTTCTCCGTTCCCCGTTCCCCGTTCCCCGTTCCTCGTTCTTCGTCGTCCGTTTCCCGTTTCCCGTTCCCCGTTCTCCGCTCCCCGTTCCCCATTACCAGTTTTAGCAACATCCCCCTCTACCCAGCTGAAGAGAGGGCGTTGCGTGATGAGACCATACAAATGTTCGTTTGCAGTAAGTTGCCTCAAAAATATCATTCCAAAACTTTCAGCACGGAATCAAACTGACACTCTATTTTATCTCCAATGGAACCTAAGTAATGATATATTGCGATCTATAATTTGTTACAAAAGGAGACATAAAGGCATTTTTTAGTCGTGGAACGACTTTTGCAAGGGGTCAGAATATGCGAGTTTGTCACTCACTCAGGTGAAAACAAATCGATAAATCAATGGCAGACTAATTGACATCGACCTTCCTAAATTATACGGACACGCCTCTATCAACTTTCCGAAGGAATGTTGCGACGTTAAGATATAACTCGACTTTTCATGGAGGGAGTTTCGATTAAGGTGGGGCTTCACCTGAATTTTGCTGAAAAATTGGTTTTTAGATTTTCCTTAAAATCGGCAACTTTAACTATTTAAATAAACATTGGAAAGTGTTTTTGTTCGATTTTTTGGGTATTTCCCTGTAAATGAATGGTTTGTTTACAAGCGGTTCAAATCTGAGTTCGCGTTGCCATGGCAACGTCGGCAGCATTGTTTGTTTTTTGTGGGCGTTTACAGGTTTTTCTGCGTCTTTTCTTGTCGAAACACGAATGGGATACTTAGTGACACATACATGACACGAGATTTCGAGGAATCGCCACGAACTGCAGTCTGGGATAGATTTACTGTAAACCGAAAGTTGAGATTGCTTTGTGAAATTAGTGTACCGAGAAATAGTCGAAATATATATTGTTGAATGGCTGGAAAAAAGCAGAGAAGCAGCTACAGGCCTAAACGAAAGGGTAAAGGATTTGGCGGATCGAAAAGAAAGGGGAAACTTGGTGAAAACACTCCGTTAGCAGCAGCAATAATCGATCGAGAAACACCGAGCACCTCTCATGAGGAACCAGACTTGTCAGACTCTGAATGTGCTCAACCACTCAGTTCATCAGCGAAGAAGATGAAGCTCTATCATTCACCAGACGAATCTTCAAAATGTTTGGATGACGAATCAACTGAGCAATGCGAAGCAACTGGTTACAGACTAATTAACTTGGAAAGTCTGTCTTCAGTGCTCTC